CCCCAAAACCCCAAAACCCCAAAACCCCAAAACCCCTGATAGTATCCTCTTAGTTGATTTGGATTCGTTAAAATATGGTATTCGAGTAAGGTGAAAACAAAGAAGAGTAATAGTAATCAATGATAATGACACTAAAAAGCCTTGATAGAATAATAAAATGGTATTTATGGCTAAGCTACTGAATTTGATCTCCTTCGATTGATGAGGCTATCTCTCTTAGGTATAAGCCCAACCTTGATAGACCATCCAAAGATATGATAAAGACTCATGAAACCTTGAATAGCGAAGATACTGAACTCTTTTCCTAAAACTTAGTGATTGGCCCTTCTATATATCCCAAAACCATGAAAAGAGTATCCAAAATACATCTCGAAGATCCAAAAATTCTAACTAAAACCAATGAAAATCTTCGAAAATTCAAAACCTTTTCTACTAAATTGAATTTTAATGGTAAGATTAGGCTTAATCTTTGAGTGCTTCTCTCTCTGCTTTCCAGTTGTTGAAGTGTTCAAACATTGCTTCTTCATGCTTGCTCTCTCCGATAACACAGGTTGATACAAGGATGGCTCCAACAAGGTATGGGTCAAGGTTGGAAGCAGGCCTACGGTCTTCTAAGTAACCCATCTTGCTTGACTCTACAGAGGTTGGGATCCTAATGGATGCCGTCCTGTCACCAACTCCACAAGTAAATTCGCCATGAGCACAAGTTTCATTCTTACCAGTGAGTCTCTTCTCATTGTCAAGCCCATAGAGGTCAAGATGTTCTTTCTGTCTTTCCTTCATCTTATCAACAGCCTCGTAAATTTCCTTGAGGCCTCCTTCTTCTCTCATAGTTTTGGTTGAGAAGTTGACATGGCCTCCAGCCCCAGCCCAGTCACCTTTAATTGGCTTTGGATCGAAAGAGACAGCAACTCCAAGATCTTCAGAGACTCTTTCTAGAAGATACCTGGCCATCCAAAGATGGTCTCCAATTGAGATGCCCTCACATGGACCAACCTGGAACTCCCATTGGCCAGGCATGGTTTCTCCGTTGGTTCCAGAGATGTTGACACCAGCAGCCAAGCATGCTCTGTAGTGAGTATCCACCACAGCTCTTCCATAGCAAACTGTTGCTCCAACTGAACAATAGTAAGGTCCTTGGCTTGATGGAAAACCTCCTTCTGGCCATCCAAGTGGCCATTGTGTGAAAGCATTAGAACATTCCATCAAGTAGTACTCTTGTTCAATACCATACCATGGTTGTTCATCTTTACACTCTTCAAAGATAGGCTCAGAAAAGTATCTGAAGTTGGTATTAGCAGGCTTCAACTCAGTCCTAGTCTCGTCAGTCCAAGAGTAGCTTGAACAAAGTACTAAGAGATTGTCCCCTCCTCTGAATGGATCCTTGAAGTAAGCAACTGGCTTGATGATCACTTCAGAATCCTCAGTGCAGGCTTGTTCAGTAGAAGATCCATCGAAATTCCAGTCAGGAAGATCTGCAAGGCATTCTATCTTTTTATCGAGCGATCTGGACTTAGACCTAAGATTAATGCCAGTTCCATCAATCCAGATGTACTCAGCCATGATTCTATCGTGTTGTTGCCACTCATCGAAATTTGTGTGATAGCACCCGTAAAATGGTTTCATTTTTAACTTTGAAATATTATTGCATAGTAACTTCTTCAGTTCTTAAATCTAGCTTCGGGGTTTTGGGGTTTTGGGGTTTTGGGGTTTTGGGGTTTTGGGG